ATGTGTGATACCCCACACAAAAAGTAGTAAAGAGCAACATCTAAGTGTTTTACCTTGCTTTTGGTGACAGAATTCCACTGAAAGCAAGGTGTCAGCAAGAACTGCGGGCAAGGGACTCTTCGAGTTAACGTCCCAGGCGAAGAAGGCGTCCATGACGGCTTGGTCTACTGTGTCGATATGGAAGGGAAACAAAATTGTTCCAAATATGATTAAAGCCAGAGTTTTGTTAAAAGCAGACCATTCTACCCTTTCAGCCAAAGAGGACAAATGGTTTTCTAACATTGCAACTTTCCAACCCTGGACATTCCCTTTTGCTATCAGGGTAGTCTGCCGAAACAACAATCGGATGATGGCAGTGACTTATGCTGCAGAAGTATATACTCCATGGCAAGTATGGACCCCGGCTGATTTGGGTCATTTTAGCATAATCTCATACTCCTCCAAAGTAGGCACCATATCGAACTATGGGAATTCAAAGTAGTGCAGACTAGAGTTCCAAAAATGAACTAGAACCCTGATAAAAGTAGGATCGACACAGATCTTCAGCAGGTCGAGAATCCGTCTATAGGATTTTTCGAAATCGAAGCAAACCTCTGGTGGAATCAATGCGCAAAGTCGTTCCAATTTTTCAGCGTGGTATTGGGGAATGTCCACTTTCTTCAATTGTCTACTAGTCCCCTCCATTTTCTAAAACCAAAATGCGTGCTATGAACATGATGTTTATTGTAGGTATGCATGGAGTGTTTGTTTTTTCCTAAATATTTATCATGTTTTATTTCTACATGATGTATATTTTTTTTTTTGCAAAATAAACTATCTATATGGATGTTTAATGTTTATGAACAAGGTCCCATTTTTATTCGATTGGATTTTTATTTGATTTGATTTTTTATGGTTTTACTTTATAGCCTTTTATCTCTTTTGTCGGACTGTGTGGTTACTTAGCTTACAAAGAACTTGAAACCAGGCTAGCTAAAAGGCAAACTGTCTGAGATAAAATGGTTTATTGTGAAAGAATAATTTTAACGTCCCTTATCTCTTCTGTCGGACTGCGTGGCTACTTAGCTTACAAAGAACCTGAAACCAGGATAGCTAAAAGGCAGACTATCCGAGATAAGGGTGTTTATTTCGAAAACATATTTTTGTGATTTTTCTATTTTCATTTGTTGTTTGGTTATGCTATGCAATCAAATGCAGCAAACAAATGCACACACAATTCACTCATTCTCGAACGCATAAGAATACGTTTTAATCATGAGGTAAGGTTTTCCTACAGAGAAGTGCGTTGGCAAAGGTAGGTTCTAACTGTTCTCACCAAGGCTTAGGCCCCAAGGTGCCCCCATTATAGGGTCCCCACTCTCTAGCCTTCCGACCATGCTTAGCACTAAGGCTATAGTCAGTCTTTGTGCCTATAGACCCCTAATTTTGCCCGGCCTCTCAATAAAGGCTAAGGAGACTTCCTATAACAAGATAAAGCTCGCCCGACATCTCAATAAAGGCCAAGAAGACTTCCTATATGAAGATAAAGCTTCAATGGACGTCTATCGGCATCAATCGACTTCCGAATAAAGAAAGGAAAGCTTTCCGGGGGTCCCAGAACACAAAATCTGGCAAAAATAGTTGAGATGGTCGTCCAAGAAGTTGGGACGGCCGTCCCACATGTCCAAACGACCGTCCCAAGTTCCAGACGGCCGTCCCAACTGGTTTTGGTGCTTGGGACGGTCGTCCCAAATCCCAGACGGCCATCCCGACTTCTCCAGACGCCCATCCCTAATTGCCAAGCTCCAGACGGCCGTCCCAAGCTGCCAGGCTGCGAAAACTATAAATAGGAGGCTCATTTGCCACTTTTTCACACCCCAGACAACTCCAAACACTTGTCTTCTCTCCCTACTTCGAATGAACTCTCCGATTGCCTTAAAAAGGTAACAATCGGTTAAGGAATTGTATTCCAGCATTCGATTCTTCTTTAAAATTTAGTCGAGTCGATATTGTATTCGGGGAGGAGAGTCTTTGTAGAGCGGGGGATTGCCAAAACGCATTCTCACGATTCAAGATTTGTAATACAAAGCTTGCTACGGAGGTTCTTTTCACTTCTCTTCTCTTTTATTGCTTTATTTATTTCTTTATGTATGCAATATAAAATAAAATCATGTAGATAGTCAATTTTAATATTATGCAATAAAATAGGGTAATAGCGTAATTTCTCATAATCTTTACTTAATGAATGAATCCGTCATAGGGAACCTGAAAGGGGCGTTGTGGGGTGCTAACACCTTCCCCACACATAACTAACTCCCTTACCCAACTCTGGTTATAATGACCAAGTTTGGTTTTTATTAAAATCAACGCCTTTTTATCCTTTTCCAATGTTTACGGTCAAAACATTGGTGGCGACTCCATAAAAACCCCTTTTCGAAAACCTTGCTTTTATTAGAGGATAGTTCAGTTGTTGAGCACCTCGAAAGCAATGAACACATTTAAAAATAAAAACGCGAGTCTAAACCATCTTTCGCGACCGCTCGCATAAACGTTCGAGATGTCCCTAGATGTTGGAATGGACGGCGGCGACAGATGGCGACTCC